TGTTGAAGTTCAAGGGTGGCTCTCGACTTAGGCCCCATTCGAACTTCAAGATTTGACTCAATTTATTTTGATTTAACGTCAATATATGAGGGCCAGGGAGGTTTTCATAAAACATATCGGACTTCACTTATGATGACATGCCTTTTTTCAAGATTCTTGACATGGTTGAATCATTTTCCTATTAAAGTGTGAAAATAACACTAGTTTTCTCCTTCGTTTTACTCTAGATTGATATGTGAAATAGTATTCATCCCAGATGACTGAAATTGGGTGACGTACATTATCCGTGTGGTAGGAATATCTTGCAAGATCGACAGTTTTTACAATCTTGCAGGTAGTTCAGTAGAAAACATCGATAAACTATCTCACTGCACATGCTTAGTACTCAAATGAAGTATCTAAGACTCCAAGACTAAAGAACCAAGTTATCCTCCAGCATTCACTGGTGGAGACCGTGTCTTAAACATGCCTAAACATCGCAATTACGTTAAAGACTAACAAGAACCATGTCATTTTCTCGAGCCCTGCGCCAACTGACAGATACGGGTTTAGGTAATCAGGAAGTTTGCATAGGATGCTGAGGCCGAGTGGGTCGAATCAGTCAAAAATGGCATTAATCCAGATCATGTACGAGCGCCGTGAAAGCCTGTAGCTTTTATTTGCCGCTCACCCAAGATAATGTTAGTCGAACGTTTAGCAATCAAGGCCAGGATGTACATGCTAAAATAAGAGCATGTAAAAATTTCTTTGTTGTTACGGCCGATGTTCTTGTCGATAAAAATAGACAAGTAGGTATTTTGCCACTATAACCTGGGTCCTCAGTGATACGCTGGAAAACTAAAATGTACGGAAGTCGCGCATGGCCATTCTAAGATTAGGCTATTCCATGCCTTGTTTGTTCTCAAAATTTCACCAGAGCGAAAAAGACTTCATCAAGATCCCTCCTACTACAAATGACAAATATCAGTTCGTCGAGTCGCAGGACTGAGTTGTTCGGGCGGATATTTTGTCAATTACATTGTTTCCTCAGTAACGTCTAGTTTCTCAAAATTTCTGCCCTCGTGTTCACCGAAACAGAAACACTTTATTACAAAAGAAGGGCTTCAATATCAAGAGGAAGAATTTCATCGATGTCATTTACCTTCGATCAGTGTTGACTGTTCTAAATACTACCGGTAAAAATTGCTCTGCACAAGAATGACGCAAATTAGAGCAGTCGCTGCAATTTGATTTATTGAAGCGTTACGATTTGATTCAGTTTTGGTTGGTCAAAGTTCCACATAACACATAACAGTAGTAAAGTAACATTACTTGTGTTATGCACTCGTACCAAAGTTTTATGTTGGACTATGAAAGCTAATATCTGCTGAGAACAAGTTTCCGTACATGAGCACCCGTTGATATTACTTTTTATAGATGTATGACACGCTAAGTGCTTTCATCTCTACTTCCCTAGATACGCTTAAATCCTATGATTGCATCCTGCCCGGCACTACGGTAGGCGGTTCTTAGTAAAAGAATATTGAGGGATTCAAATGATCTTTTAAAAACAAAAAAAAACAACCCCCCCCCCAAAAAAAAAAAAACAGATTTCGCTCAGATGATTTTTCTCTTCAATATTATTATTTACTTACATTATCTTCCTCTTAAGGTTAGGAAACGGCACGGGATTTTTTTGTTTCTTTTTCCTGAAGTTTCAAATGAGACAAAAACGCTGTGAAGTAAAATACAATACTGGTAATTACGATAAAAGTGTCGAATCTTTAACAGGCATATCGTTAAGAAAAGCCATCGATAGACTGCGTCATTACACGAGATAAAAACTCAGAGGAGGCCCTCAAGACAGAAAAACCGACAGATGTGTGAGACAATACCACTTTTGCAACTGAGCTGAGAAAGTTCAAAGGACAGAGGGTATTGTCTCGAGGAAGCCTCAAACTAGGCCACTAAACAACAGGTCTACAGCTTCCCCAAACACTATTGTTCATATCAAGTTGTGTTATCCCATTCTCATCACGGAATCACCTTGAACTGATGCATTTTGTTGACTTGATTTAAGTTCCTGTTGTCTTTGAACTAACTTAATTTTGTATACTTATTTAATAGTTTGTGTAGATTGAATGCGGCCATTAAGTATGTTCTACTCGTTTAAAAAAAGCAAGCAGAAATATAGTTGATTTAATGCTGATCTATTTTAAACCAAAGCGACTCAAATTGTCAAAAATAAATTTTTTAATGAAACTATACTCCCTCCCTATACGGAGACTTCATTTTCTTTCAAATTTGTTGCCATTTTATTCAACACTCTTAAAAGCTATTTTGCTTCTTTATTTGAACAAACTTTAAGGGTTACAGGATAAACTCTCTTAGACTCTCTCTTAAGCACTTTGCCTCTCTATTTGAATAAACCTCCTTGAGTTTACAGGTTATGCTGTATAGCCTCACTTTCGACCTATCTGTCCCTTTGTTTCTACAAACATTTTGTGTCCAGAGGTTAAACTCATAACAAATCTGTATAAAACAGAACGAGAAGGCTTGGGAAGGAGAGTCAGGGCGTTGGTTGGGATATGTCGATTTCGCTAGATTTATTGTTAGTTTTAGTCAGGAAACGAACGTCTGTTTCTCAGACTTCCGCACTCAGAACTTTCGCGCAAGAAAAACGTTCGCCTCCTTGTCTGAAGTTGTCTGCATCGATAAAACTGATCTCAAGGCTATCCACCATTACAAGCTTCCATAATGCTTTCATGCGAGCGTCTCGCAGATAATTGTTTATCCTTAAATAGTAAGTTTAAAGTCTTGGCATGCCCGCCCTTCACATGGACCAAAAGCCCTTTCTTTGATACCCCCTGATGTTCTCCCTGTTGGTGTCACCTTGTGCATGTGGTGACCCATTTTATTGGTTCTCCCTTTTTATTTCATTAACACGTAACATCGGCAGATTTTTGACTAAGAATCAAAGTAAAACGGAAGAAATTATCAAAGATTTCATACTACACGCATACTACACGCAACCGGTGTTTAGCGTTATTGCTCACGTCACTAGCTTGAAAAATTTTATATTGGACAAGGTCGATAAAGACAACTAATATCCGCCGAGAAAAGTTAAAACGAACACTTAATGAAATTAGACTTGATATATATTCAAAATAACATTACGTTCTCCTTATTACATGATCAATATCTTCAATATTGCATTATTAAACGACTTCAAAATCAAATTATACTTGACACCACTGATATTGTTGTCCCTCTGTTTGACTAGACAATTTACTAGCATTTTAAATTTAAGAGACGTTTCCAGTGCTGTCGCTTTGTGGTTTTCGATGATGGTCGGACACGTCTCCTCACTGTTCACAGAGACTCTACTTTCAAAATTAAAAACTCCTAGTAATTAACTCATGGACCCTTTGAGGAGTGACTAGCATCTTATCTCTCCTTACAGTACCACCCCTAAGTCAGACATTAGAGTCACGAAAATAAAGGAAATTAACTAAAGACTATAAAGGCTCTTCATTTTTAAACAAATTCTCCTTGTCTGTACCTTAGGAAATGTACCAAGAACAGTATGGAGAATATACATACTGATATTAGAGTGTAGAGGAAGAAAGGTTTTCCGTGGCGATAGATAACATGGAAGTTGTACCATGTTGCTCAGTTAAGCATCCCAGGACTGCAAATGATCCCAGAACACGAATGATCCTTAAATGATCCGAGAGGCAATCTCAATGTAAGACCTCAAGTGATCGCGTTAAGATTATTATAGACCTTTAGGGGCCGAATTTTGCGAGAAAAATTGTTCTCACTTATTCTCCAGCTGAAACATTTATTTGTAGTTTGGTGTAAAAAATAATCTAAAATCATAAAATATTAGTGAGATATCGAGGAAAAACTGTTTTTCGAGAAAAGTTAATACATAGCTAAAAGTTGTTTTTTTATCACATTTAGGACATTTAGGGTAAGCTACTCCTTTGCTTTTTCGCAATAAACTTTATCAAAGAGACTCCAGTTACAATGATTTGTATATTTTGTCGAAAGAGGTTTGACGACGAATAAAAAGACTTTTTAGAGATCCGAGTAAATTCATTGCCACGTTCTGTTTTGTTTGGGATCGCCGGTAGATCGAGTTGGCCGCTGGTTTCGCGGCCTTTGGTTTCTCCTTCTTCTCTGCTTTTACGCTGCTTAGCACTTCTTTTTTTCCATTTTCGCTATTCCACTCTCAGGAACCTTTCTCTTGGATTACGACTTGGGATTTGACTGCACATAACACATCTCTCGCGAATTTCAAAAGGCTATTTCTAATTAGAATCTTAGGGGGTCCGAAGCTCGTGTTTTAGTAGGTGGTGGTTTGACCGCGATGTCGACTGGTGTGTAGATGTTACAGATTTTTGATATTTCAATTGCAAATACTTCTCCTTTCGCCGCGTTCAATAGTGATTTTCTCGGCTACCGATAGGAATAATGAAAAAGCCTCGTACGCTTTCGCAGTGCATCAACTGCTGATTTCCACCGAGCAGTTTACTCTTTAAGGTAATCATTTCTCTTGATTCTACATTTTTAAGCTTTGCATCGATGTACATAGTTTTCAAGGCTTTCCTTTGGTTACATCATAAGCGACGTGCGTACGAACGATTTTCCCTAACTCACCCCTGAAGGTCTACAGTAACTTAACATGGATAGTTTGGTGGATAAGGAAACATGTCGTTTCGTGTGACCTATACATGAGCTTTTCTATTATTATTTTTTGTTGCCCGTTTTTCGCTCACGAAAGAGTCATGAATAAGAATAGAGATGAAAGTATGGTCTTTACCGGATTGCAGGGATCATCGGACGAGAAATTCCTCGTGTATTTTAACTGCAAAACCCAACCAACGTTAAATACCTTAGTCATTTGTTATGTATCATTGCCGCATAAGCAGATGTTGTTGGTCTGAAAGATGTGGTGTAAGCGGTGAGAAACAAGAAGGATACCAACTTGAAACCGAGATATGTATACACTGAGACAGGGGCTACATGTTTAATGATAAGATTAGGAATAGGAAATAAATAGTAGAGCTTAAATACAATATTCATGGGTCTAAATACTCAACAGCATGCATCTGAAATTTCCTCATTTGGTTCAATACCAAACTTTAGAACACCTTCTGTAATAGTTGCCCAAGGCATACGCTTGGTGGTAAAACCTCTCCCTACCTTGCCATGTTTATTGATTGCTATTGCTCCCCCCTGACCACCTACTTGCTCAAACATCTTCTCAAGTGCTTTAGTGCATGCAAAATCAGGGGTGTAACCCCCTTCCATGTTACACACCACTTCTCTTGCCAGCAAAGTTTTCATAATGGATTCTCCATGTCCTGTTGTTGATACTGCACCCTCCTCGTTTGCATAACCTCCACAGCCAATCAGTGGACTGTCACCAACACGTCCAGGCATCTTGAGGGAAATTCCACCTGAAATTTATAAAGCTCAATTTGATTTTTGTTTTTCTTCCTGCCCTTGATTATTGCAAGTGCACTTTTAGTATTAGTGGCTCTGCATTTGAGGTTTAACTAAGTTCAGTTGAGGCTTCCTGTGTTTTGGCTTGTGGGACCAAATTTTGTTCTCACAGGGTCTAATGAAGTGTGCACACTGGGCATTGTGGCCAAGAAAATCCTCCTCTCCAATAAAATGGGTCACCACATGCACAAGGTGACACCAAACAAGCTGGCTATGCTTGTTAGCTACATGCCTGTTAGGCAGACATCCTGAACTCCATAACATAGAATTTGAAGTGATTTAAAAAGAAACAAATTCTTGTGCCTAAATGGGTATTATTTATAGCCATTCAGTTGTTGTTTGCTAGGAGAAATCTATAAAAACTTGCAACACTTGTAAGGCCCCAGAATTGAACCCACTAAATTAAGCCATATCATTACTCATACCCAGTGTTCCCTTTATTAGGCAGTAGCAGATGAAATTTACTTCTTGCAAAAGCATTTATTACTAACTGCAACCTCTAATAAAATTTGAAAATTCAAACAACTGGTGTCAAGAGTTTATGGGTTTGGAATCCTATTTTGCATTAACTTCTGGAAAGCTAAGAAGAACACTGGTCATGCCACCCACAACAATGTGCTACATTAAACATATAAGCCACCTACAATAAAAGCCAACATTTCTAACTTATTGGTGCTAAAGCTAACCTGTAGATGTTGCACATGCTAGTCGACCATAGGAGTCCATAGCAACTGCACCAACAGTGTCATGTCCAGGATTAACAACAGTATCGGTATTGCATGTTTCTGTATTATAACCACTCAAAACAGCTTCATTGAAATTTTTGTTTCCTTCCAATTGTAGTCTTGATTCTTCACTGATAAGTGCAAGAGGATCAGATAAAATTGGAAAATCTATTTTCTTTGCATACTTTAAAGCGCCATTGCCAACCAATAAAGAATGAGGAGTGTCTTCCATCACATGACGAGCTAGAGACACAGGATTTGCTACACCTGTTACTGCTGCAACAGCACCTGGAGAAGAAATTGCAAATTATCTTATCATCAAACCAAAGACCAAATACAATCTAAGAATTTTAAGAAAAAGCACAAAACTGAGAGCTGAGAGAAAACCTCTTCTGCTACAAATCAGAGAGAACTGTAAAGCACTTTTATAGAAATATTTCACAGTTAATTCTATAACAAAAATCTCTAGAAAAGCAATCAATGACAATTTTTCTACTGTTGTATTCAAGTCAAAATGAATCCAATAACCATATGTTGCAGTTTGGTACCAAATCTGGAAACATCTGCTCTATGGTAAAGTTTATCTAAATTTACCTGATTCTAAGGTCTGCCCATTCATGATCATGGCATCAACTTCAACAGTCAACTCCTCTGTGAGAACTGAGCCATGACCTGCATCAAAAGTTGGATCATCTTCCAGAATACGAACAGCTGCCTCAACTGTGTCAACAGCTGTTCCACCCTTGGTTAAAATGAATTAATTCATTATTGCTTACAATTGGACTATAAATAATTCCTCTCTTCTTGCTGCTATATGTTTCTTTATTAGTTACTTAGAGATAAATAAATAATAGTCTCTATTTTGGTACAAAAATATGCACAATATTTGTCTGTAACATCATCTGTTCCAAGATACAAACAGTTTTCTGAAAGTGAAGCTCAAGGAAATCTGTGAGCTTTAAGGATCAGATAATGTCCAAGGACAAATACATGAGCACATTTTCCACAAAATGGAGGCTATTGTGTTTATTATCTTTCATGTATTTTGCAACATGCATAAAAAAAATTTTTACAAACAGCTTACTGTTTGCTGTGCAAAATATTTCCTTTTGAGTGTTCTCTAGCACAACTTTATGTCTGTAACTTTCCCACATCTTATCTGTTCCAAGATACTAGGATAACAGTTTTCTTAGAGTAATTGATATTTGATGTATCAAGATAGCATTCTTCTTCCCAGGTGGTTCTTTGTCTGTTTGTATTACCCTTTGCTTGATGTTTTTCCTTTGAAATTGTGGGGGGGGGGGGGGGGGGTGTTGTGGTGGGGGTGGGAAAGGGAGGGTTATCTGTCAATTAGTTCTGAGAGTGAAAGGGTTTACTTTTTTGTTTTAAATGAGTCTGTGACTTGATACGTTCTAAAACAGGATTGATTGTGAGAACCTCCTGAAGAAACGGTGATGGATAATGGCAAAATGTGACCTGTAATTATTATTGCAATCAATTCCATGATGTTTCTTACGCAGATCTCACCTTTAATAAGCACTCGTACCCTTTTTGTGCAGCTTTCTTGACCCCACTAACTGATGACTCTTTCCAGGCGTCTGGTATGGCCCAAGCCCCACCGTGCACTATAATACAGGGTCGCACACTTGTTGGCTCAGTCGCCTTTCTTTCCTCCATTGCTCGTTCGGCAAGAAGGAACGTATTACTCTCCACGATAGCGTCGGTTGACTCCAACTGCAACTTACCATGAGAGCCTATAGATTACGAATATTGCGTAGTTTGTAAAGCATATGAGGAAAATAACTCGTCCAGCCCAAACTACGTCCAGACTAGAGCGCCACGGTGTGGCGTTACAAGTGCATTTCGACTCCAGGCCTCTTCACAAATTACCGTACGCGCGACAACGGAAGGAAATACTCAATGAAGTAAAGAGACAGATCCAGTAAGATTTTTATCAAACTGATCTCGATTTCGACTCTTCAAGACATCCTTTCTGTAAGGTCGATATCACCACGTTTTCACATTTCATACGGTTATGCGAGTTTATCTTGTTCGGTGTAGTATTTTCGCTGGAACGTGAACTTGCATGTCACATAACGTGTTCCTCACAATCGTAGGAGTTGCCTACTTTATTTTTTTGCCAATTCCTGAGAAGGAAAAGAGCCTCAAGTTCATTATTTTTATTGTAGCACTTGTTTCAAGAAACGAATGGTGACAATAAGTTTACAGCTAGTGCAAAAAATATACGCAATCTCAGTGTAAGAAAAAGAGGATAACCATGCCCTTCTAGGCCCAACATACTCATAACGCACTCACAGACACAGTTTGGTGCAAGAGTACACCTTATTTTCATCACCATATTGTGGTGGTACCCCCTTTTCCTGAAGTTACATTTAGTTTAGAAAATCTGATGAGCAATATTCAGGGAGTTTTCACAATGTTAACCCTTTAACTCCCAAGATCTCATTAGTAATTCTCCTTACTGTCTACCATACAATTCTTGTGATGTTAGAATGGAGAATTTGGTATTGGATCAACTCATAATCCCCTAATTTATATTTTTCTTTATTCTCATCACTTGTCTGCTTGATATTGTATTGATATTGTAAGGAGAAATTCTGTCTTGGTCACTCTTGGGAGTTAAAAGGTTAACACAAAGAGATGCAAAGTAAGACAGACAAAGGGGGAAGCTTAACCCTTTAACTCCCAGAGGTGACTAACATATAACTTCTCCCTATAATATCTATTCATTATTCACAAAAGGGTGATGAGAATATTCAATATTATCAGGTAAAAGTCATTATCTTGATATAAGACCAAATTCCCCTAAATAATTTACAAGGAAATGCATAGATGCTAGAGGGGAGAATTAACAATTAGATCTTGGGAGTTAAAGGGTTAAGGGGAGTTTTTGCAATCAATGATATGCGGATTTCATTATAAGAAACTTTTCATGCCCCCCAATGACAGTAAACTGTGATTGTTGGTAACCCCCATGATAAAATCCACATACCCAAATAAGTTTTCATGATTTCTCTAATTAATTTTTTTCTAGAGATTTTCATTCAAAGGGTAATGTAATGTTTTATAGAAAAGGAGAATTACAACATCATGAGTTACATTTTATTACTACTTGCTATCATTGAAATAGATTTATTTTATAAAAACCATCATGTCTGTACAAAATTATATAAACATTTTATGTTACTTAATCAATGACAGTAACAATGTTGTCATGGTAACTGTAATATTATGCTAAAACTGTTTCTCTACAAACATTTCTAAAGTTGATATCAGCCGTTTTGGAGAGGAAAATTATTTTATAAAGAGCACAAAATTTCTAAATCTACTTTTAGATCATTTTGAACATTTGGGTGTAAAATCTAACTTGACAATTTGAACATTTTACATTGGAATCTCTTGTTCTTCACCCAGCTCCTGTCCAAATTTAATAACATGTCTGCTAACAAATGCCCAAGTCATATGCTTGGAGGAAAAAGCTAGTCCAAACTCTCCATGATTATTTAGTGCTATAACACCACCTACACCTTTAACTGAATTGGCCATTTTATTAATTGATTTTTCACAGGCTTGCTTGGTTTCTAAGCCATCTTCCACATTTCGGACCACCTCCCAAGCCAGAACAGTTTTCATCAACGATTCTCCATGACCAGTGGTAGACGATGCAGCCACTGTATTGGCATATCACCAACTCTCCCTGGCATTTTCATTGGCAATCCACCTAGAAAAATGTTCATATGATGGATCTTGTTACACAAACA